AAACATTTTTTTGGTTTACATTTTTCAAAATCCTAAAACTTTGTTCATTTTCAGATTTAATGTTGTCTCAGACTTCATCTCCATCATATGTGCAAACATGCAAAAAACACACTTGCACACCTGGGGCCCTCTTTTAACGATTTAAGCGCAAGGTCTAAAGCGTAGGTGCACTTAGGGCGTGTCCAAATCCACTTTTGCTAGTTTAATGACGGGAAAAACGGTCGGCACGGTCGGCACGCCTGCGCATGGTCTAAAAGGGTTGTCCCTATTCTCTTAATGAGTAATGGGTGTGTTTTGGGCATAACATACAATAAACCAATCAGAGTCTCATCTCCCATTGCCTTTAAGAGCCAGTTGCGCTGGTGTCATAGCAGATTTGCTATTTACACGGCGGAATTTGCAAGCGCAAAAACAGAACGCCTCTCCAGAGAGGAAACGGAGCTGCTTGTGCGCGAGCAAATAGCTAGCTTAATTTTGATACATGCAATGACTATCCATTATGACATGTAGGCATTTTTATATTTATGTAGCCTACACAATAATAATTTTTTACATTGCAATACTTAAAATTTTAATATTTGGCATGTTTGTGTGCTGCTGTGCATCCCTGTGTGTGTAATAAGCAGAGTGTATGCGTGCTGTGGACCCGCCTATACTAACGTGCTCTTTAAATAACAAAAAACTACTATGCCATTGACTTTAGACCAGATTTTAGTTGGTCAATGGCGCAGTCTATTTCAGTTGCCTCAAAATAGCAACGCGCCAACAATGCACCTGAACACACCTTGTTTTCAGACCAGCACGCCCATGAGCGCACAAATGGGCGGAAATGCATTTGGTATTTAAACAACGTGGCGCAGGACGTGTGGGTCGGGCTGAAACTAGCGAAAAATACTTGCGTCGCGCCTGGCGCCGAGTGTATGATGGAACCCCTGAGCTTGAGCAGCAGGACTCATAATCATATAGTAACCCACAACTCAACTGCAAATCCTATATCTTTCTGTATTACAGAAACCTTGATGGAGATAAGAAGCCATGGTGCTTTATAAAGAAGAACAGGAGACTTCGATGGGATTATTGTGATGTCAGAAAATGTCCCACACCTGGTAAGATTGATGATAAAGACACAGTGTGGTTTATTATGTGATACTTTTTAAGTCAAGAGCTCTAACTCAACAACGCCAACATACAGTAGCTCTGCATGAATTGCAATTGCATGAACTAACATTACTAAACCTGCATTAAATTTCAGTTTTGCCACAAATTCAGCTATTACTCACATGCTGCACTTTTTCCTACAGCAACCACTACCACAAAAATGGTGTCCACCACTGCTGAAGCTCGACCCACCACAAATGCATTCACAGACAGTATTCCACCAAATGCAACTACTCTTCCACCAACTGTACTAACTACAACAGGTCAGACTTGTCTGGTAAAATTGATGACAATGCAGTAGCATAGTTTATAATCCAGTTGTGTTCCATTGAAAGTTTAAACCAAAAGCTGTAACTTTTTTACAACAGTCACTGATATTAATGTTCATTCTAAATGTAATAGTTAGTTCTTCTGAATTTAAATTGCTGAGAGACGGTTCAAGAGTACTCATACAGTCCAACAGCACTAGGACTTTTCACTGTTTGTATCACTCCAATTGTCTATGTAAGAGTGGAGGAAGTTTTCACTGACTCTTTCTGCAGGTAGGTGGTGACAAAAAGTGTTGGGGAAAGTTACTTTAAAAGCAATGCATTACAATATTGCGTTATTCCCTAAAAAGTAACATATTGCATTGCCTTTTATACTTTTTAATGTATTACGTTACTTTTGCGTCACTTTTTCTCATCTGGGCTGGGCTTGTTTGTTTGTTTTAATATAAAAAAGTTATATTTTTGGCAAATGTACCAAAAAGTGAAATGAATAATCCTCAGGCTGAAGGAAATATGAATTCATGTCTGTACTGAGCTCAAACAAACCTTTTAGTTGTGCTGCCATTCTGGATTGCACGAAGAATAGGATGTTCAACACTCTTCAGCAATATTTTATTTATTTTATTTATTTATTTGCTTATTGGTATGGTTGAATTGAATCACCAAAGGTCAGCATCAAAGACATTGGGGTAGCACTTTATTTTACAGAACGTGTAATTCCCTGGTACATACATGGCAAATATATTGTACCTACAGGCAAATGAGTGATAACACAAGGTACTTGCCTTAAGTGTATGAACATCTGCGCATCAGAAATATATTACAGTTTAGCAGATATTCACATAGAAAACAGTTATTTTAAATTGTAAAAATATTCACAATTTTTACTCTATTTTTGATCAAATTAATGCAGCCTCGGTGAGCAGAAGAAAAACTTTTAAACGTGTATACACCAATTTACCAATAATTATTTAGTACTATGGTAGAGTTGTTGAATTATGATGCATTGTTTTACACATTGCATCACAATAATGCTTTGTTTATATATATACACACACACACACACACGTATATACATATATTTACAGAAACAAGTCATTGTCTTTACAAAACTTAATAAATACGATGAACAATCTTAAAGGATAGGCCACCTCTCTAATTCTCTGTGATTCAAAAACGTCTGGAGATCTTAAATTAGGATGCTTTCTTTCCCTCAATCCATGCAGGTCGATGAAGAGGCTGTGGTGACCTACAGGTGGCGCTGTAACACAGCACACTTCTGCACTGCAGCACAGAGAACATGCAGAAAGCTTCAAAGAGAATAAAAGCATGTAATCATTAAACAGCTGAGTGTCTCTTCTGCTCCACTGAGTCCAAATGTTGCTGCGGATTCTCTCTGCAGTATGTGTTCTTCACACAGTAAAACCCTCCTGTGACCCGTCAGAAGCTGATTTCAAGGTTTAGAAAACTAGTCGCATGTTTGAGTGAAAACAGGTCTGTGATATATTTCATCCCAAAATCAAGACCGCATTATATTTTGCATTAAATGAAACGCATTAGACTAACATTTTTATAATATTCATAATGTATTTTTTAATCATTAATATAATTTATTTTTAGATTTTTATTTGTGACAATTTAACCATAGATTCTACCGTTATGCACCTTAAAATATAAAAAAAAAAATTACTATATAATTGTTTCTATTGCATTGCTTTTGGAGTAATTTCTTTATTTTTTAATTAAGTGTTTTTTATCATTTCTATATAATGCAATAGTGAGAATGCCAATGCGAAAAAGCATCACCTTCATTGTCTTTTATCAAATATATATATTTCATCCAAAAATCAAAAGGATATAAAACAGCATTGCATTTTGCATAAAGAAAATTAAACTCATTAGACTAAAATTATATTCATAATTTATTTTTTAATCATTAATATAATAAATTTTTATTTGACAATTTAACCATAAGTTCTACCGTAATGCACCTTAAAATATTTAAAAAATGTGAACTATATAATTGTTTTCATTGCATTGCTTTCTATTGCATTGCTTTTTTTAATGAATTTATTATGTAATGAATTTTTATTATTTATATATAATGCAATAATGCAACAGCGAGAATGCCAATGCCAAAAAAATAAATAAAATACCTTAATGCCTAAAAACATCTCCTTCATTGTCTTTTATCAGAATATTTGGTATTTCTCTTCTTTTGATTTTGGGGTGTCCTGGGTATGTTTTTGACACGTTGAGATTCGTGCTTGATGCTGTTTGTTCAGTGTTAATGGTCTAAAACTGTTTTTTTGTTGCTGTGAAAGCAGCATCAATGGAGGGGATTTGATACGACACACAGGACAAATATCTGACCATTCACGCCACGTGAAAGTTCATTCTGTTACTGTCCTCAGACACAGGAGTGTGTGTTTGTAACTGAGAACTTTCCCTCTGTCACTGGCCTCTCAGATTTCTGGATTGGTTTCTGTGTGTCGGACCATTAGCCAGACTTCACCTGTCCTTGTTACTGTTCACTCACGTAACAGAACAGATTTCCACTCTCTAACAAAAACCTGTTGTATGGAACTTTTAAAAATCAATTTTAGGCAAGAACACAAAACCCCACCACAAACTAACCGCTCTTCTCCAAAAGTAAGAAAACAATTTTCCCCTTGATTTTTAAACGACCTGGCTGGAAATTGATGCTAAAATAGGTTTCTGGTGGAAATCGGATTTGCGTGGTTTGTTGAGTGTCTAAATCTGTAACTGGTGATAATTATCAGGCCTGGTTTAGATGGATGATCAACTAACTGGACAACCAAGCAATGAGATCTGGTTGACCGTACTGATTTGTGACCAGATAAAATGTACAGGTCAGTAGCTACGTTTACATGCAACCCAATAATCTGTTTATCTGATTGAAAAGCCTTATTTAAACATGCAAGCTATACTATTTAGCTTGATTTAAATTAAATTACGATCGGATTTAAAGGGGATATGCACACCTGAAATAATATGGTCGATAAGAAAAAAATAAGCATGTAAATAATTGAATCCTACTATTTTTTAAATCGGATTCGCAAATACCTTGCGCATGCGCAGTTCCGCTATACATATGTTTTCGCTTCGCGTCGTACAAACGTGCCTATTTTATTTAGTCTTATTGGACATTGGAGAAAACTAAATGTTTAATACAGAAATACTGTTCTGGCATGACAGCTTTCTTTTTAGATAGGCCTATTTCTTTTAAAGCAAAAAGAACGATTATACTCGCGTTGCTCCGGTTATCGCGGTATTTTTGTCCGGTTTTCACGCTAAACGCGGCGATTGGACTTTTTTTGGACGGTTTTCGGATGCGCATAAACAAATCAATAAAAATCAGCGGATCGTATTGCAAAGTTTAGGGTTCATAAACAACATTTTCAGGATCTGAAACAGCCTAAACATGGTTTTTCTCAGAACTATATGATGAAAGATATTTCCCCCTACAGCATCAACATCTTTAAGGGAAGGCTGTGGTCTTGTACGCCCTGCGGTAAGTGCAGAGATGAGGTTTAGTCCCAGAGAAGCCAAATGCGTCCGTATCAAACAGAAGAGAGCTTTTATCCCGGTGTAAACACGCCGTGCATCCACGATCACCCCAGAGACCCGAGCAAGTGTTCACAGATGAAGATGATGCTCAAGTAAGAGATTTATTGCTCTCTCTTCCCCTGTGAGAGAGTGAGATGGATCAAAGATAAACTTGCGCAAGCTTTCATTTCTTTCTCACGCAGCCACGCGGTCCATTTAAGAGCAAAATATGACTCACACACACGCACGCACACACTCACACACTCACACACACTCACACACACACACACTCACACACACTCACTCACACACACACACTCACACACACACACTCACTCACACACACTCACACACACACACTCACACACACTCACTCACACACACACTCACACACACACACACACACACACACACTCACTCACACACACTCACTCA